CCACAACATACTGTGCATATAATTGAAATTCTCGCAGTGGTCAAATTAAATGGATACAATTAAGATAACACGTATATGTAAAATTATGTTCTGTGTGGGTTCACTATATTAACAAGAAAACGACAAGATTGCATTGAAAGAAAACTTAAACATTCTCTTTTCTTCCTTTAAAGGTTATTTTGGAATATGCTAAAGATCAAGATTACTTAAAACTTCTCTCCTGTTGTTTGTTTTTAATTACAAATATGAAGTGAGAAAAGTTTGTTAGACAGTAAGTTCTTTAATCCACTAACTTCACATTTGTGATAATAAGAGAGAAAATCGTGTACCATAAAAGGATCATTTTTTTATTTCCAATAAATGGTTTGAGAACATATCTATCCAGTTTGATTCTTTAAAATATACAAAAGATGTTATGTAAACTGAAAAGTAAATATACTGAAAAAAATCTGAATGCAGATATTAAAAATCTAAGTACGATCAGTTTTACGTATTCAAAATAAGTAAATAATCTGAAAGAAAGCAAAATATATGGGATAAGAAAATTGTGAAGCAATGTGAAACGGTACGTACATTTTGGTAAATGAAAACACAAAAATAAATACATAAATATAATAAAATAAAAAAGAATTAATACAATCAAATATCCTTCATAATCCCTGGATTATGAAGGAGATAGCAGGAAAATTTATGTATTGGTAGCAATTTTTTGTACTCTTCGGTTATTGGAACCGGATTTAGAAATGTATGTATGCATGTACAGATGTATGTATTCATGCATGTATGTGTGTATATACACACACACATGCATTTCTGAATCTGCACCCGATAATAGAAGAGTACCCAATCTTTAAAAACTAAGACACTGAAACTGAAAAATATACAGTGTTATTAAATTTATGTATTCAGCGATGAATTTATACCATAAATTTAGTTTTCAAGCAGCATATATATGCAACAGATGCATAAAAACTAAGTGGTATATTAGTGTTTTAAGAACTTTGTATTGTGCAAGTGAAATGTTGTCTTTTGGTATTACAGATAACAGATGAAGAGCAAGATATATAAATTTCTCACATCGTTAAGATGTGGAAAAATTCAGCAACGACTGATTGTGCGACTATTACATGCTTTTTTTTTTTTTTTTTTTTTTTTTTTTTTACGGCACGGCAAAGGAGAAAATGGCACTTTTTCAATAATTTTATTTTCCTTAAAATGAGATAAAAAATTAAAGTAATACGTCCATTGCGTATTCAAATAAATGTACGGTGCGGATTAACAAACCTTGTCTTGATCGGAATGAGAGATTTAAACTTTTACTTATGTTTCCATGTTTATGCAGCTTTTCTAAATGCTCTGTATAAATCATTAACACTAGATTGCCCAAGGAAGTCATTTCGACTGCTTTTTAATTTCAATTAGAAAAACAATTATGCATATAATGACACAATTTCTTAGAATATTGTGATTTTTGTACAACATATAAATGCGTTTATTAATAATTGTAGTTACCCCCGCTTCTTTAGTTTTCCAAAAGCCTTTCGTTTCCTTTCATTGCCCAAAAGCAGTCATTTTGACTGTCTTGAAAACCAGTCTTGGGATATTTTAAATTATCAAATGACTCTTATTATTGAATTAAGTAAATTTCCTATATGACCAGTTCGGCTGTGTATTGAATAACAGTTTTCATTTTTTTTTTAGATTACCTTCAAATGATAACATACAAGTACGTGATAAATTGTCGATTTGGGCGTATACTTGATAAACTGTAGTTTCTCAATAAGCTAAAGTAGTACTTGTTATTCGAATCTCAGTGAACACGTTGTTCTGAAACTTGTCGAGCCATTTACAAGCTGTGGAAGAAATATCACGACCGATAACGTTTTCACTAGCATGTTAATCGCGACAAAATTATTGACCAAAAAAAAAAAAAAAAAAAAAAACTCTAGTTGGAACTATTAGAGAAAACAAACGAGAACTACCCAAATCAGCCAAACAAACGAAAGATAACATGCCTCGTTTTTCCACTCTGCTATATAAATCAGAGAATTGTATTCTGACAATATGTAGAAGCAAACAAAATAAAAGAGTAGCTGTTCTAAGCGTAAGCTTTTCGGAGTGGGAACGGAGAATCTGTTTGTCTGCAGCTATAAATAAAATAACAATAAGCAATCTAAAAACTATAATTTTTTGCAGGTGTGCCTAGAAATACCTTTACTTTAAGATGATGTTAAAATTTTTATAGGTTATGATTAAAATTTTTTCGAAAAATTTATAAAAAATATTTAAAGAATAAATCATAAAAAATGGGCGAATTTTATTTGGAATGAACCTAAATTTAGAAATGTCAAAGGAAGAATAAAATACGTATTCTAGCTCATGTTCTGTTAATTTCCTTTTCTGACTTACTTTAGAACTCTGGAGCTTTGTGAGTTTATGGCATTCCTTTGTGAGTTTATGGCATTTATTTTTTTTACCCCAATAATGCAATTTGTACACAATGGCTATTAATTTCGTTTTGACATTTTGCGTTGATTCACTATAAGCATTGTTTCACTTTTCAAACTGTTGCCATTAAATATTATCGCCCTGCATTATATTTGAAGAAATTAAATAATGAAGAATCTGTATAAATTAATGTATGTTTCTCGCACTGGAATAAAACAACGCCATATAAACTAGAGCCATCCAATTTTGAATGACGTAATCCTACTGCGAATATGGGCATCTGGAAGCCCAAATTTGAAATTCAGAATTTGTTTTATTACTGATTTCATATTTTGTGAAACTTTAACGAATTTTGGATTAAAAAACTCGAGAATTTCAAAGCGAGCCATGACAACGTTGTACAGAAAAAAAACATTTTTAATCTCCAGCGCGCGAGACTGTGTATCGGAAATTCTAAAGATATGCTCAATTGAAAATTATCTTGCGGTATTGCTCTTGAACTGAACTTTGTGGTTTAGGTGCGAAGAACATGATATTTAATAAATAAAGGTAACACAGAAAATGTTTTAAAAAAAAAAAAAAAAAAAAAAAAAAGCCCCTTTAGATCTAATTTAAAATCTGAAACTTTTCAGATTTTGTTTATTTATTTACTTTAAATTAATTCTCAGTTAATTCGGTAGTTAGTTTCCGGTTATTTTATTCGTATCCGTGGTTAGGTGCTTTCTTACGTCTGCATCGTCGACACTGATTTTTTCAGTTAATATTTCATTTTGATTGCTTTATTTATTTCACTTCATCCAATTTTGATTGCTAATAAAAGGCTACATTCTTCTAATCTTAAATTTGTTGGTGTTATGGTTTTATCTTCAAGTCATTTTTCTTAGAAACATTATAATCAAGAGAATAAATAATTTGGAATATATGGCCCGCGGGTCACAAACCAACAGTTGATGAGTATACAGCCGCGGGGAAACTTATTTAAAAGCTATAAAATTGCCATTATTAGTATTAACGTGCATAACTTGCTTTCCACCCGTTTTGTAATACTTTTGCAATATTGGCTTTTCTTATTATTTTTATGGAGTTTGTGTCTAACTATCAATACTACAATATCGAGTTTCTGTCTCGTGTAACAAAAGTGAGGTAACTGGAGTACAAATTTTACAATCGTTTGGTATTCATTTTTGAAAATATGCATATCATATTTTTTTTTTATCTTAAATATATTCACTTAAGCTGAAATTACTAGTATGAAAAAGAAAAACTACTGGCGTATATACTAAATAAATTAGTGATTCTTAAAACTGTATACTGAAATTTTCGAAGCACTTTTAGTAAGGTAAAAAGTATAAAGAACGACATCTTGGAATTTTGCAAATGCTATAAGATAGTTTTTTCAATTATGAAATTTCGATTATAAAATTTCATAATTGAAATTTTAAATTTCATAATTTAAAATTATAAAATTTCGATTCTGTTTTTTCGACGTTGTATATGTATGCAAATCAAAGCAATAACCCCTTAATTCCTCCTCTTTATTGTAAAATTAGTAATGCCTTTTTCTGTACTGCGTCATTTCTAGATCAGTCTATATCAGCGATTCTGAAGCGGTTGATACGCGTACCACTAGTGGTACGCAAGAAAAAAAAAATAGGTGGTATGCAAAGAAACATTTTTAAATATTAAACACTGAAATTAAATACCCCAACATCCTACTTAAGGTTTTTCAGCACTCGTAAATTTATGCGATCTGAGCTTCGTTCAAGGCCAATAGCCACTCATTGACTTCAGCAAAACAATCCGTTTTTATTTTCATAAATATTCTTTTAGCCACAGACATAAAAAAACTGTCGTAGATGAAGTTTTTAAAAGAAGTAATAGAAATGGATGTTGTATTTAACAGGAAATAAAAATAAGTTCCTATAAAAATATAATAGTATCTCACTAATCCTTTTTAGAGTGATCAGTTTATTGGCATGTGCACATTTTTATATCGCCACCATTTCCGGGCTTGTATTTGCTCTATTTTCAATTAGAATGATTTTTTTTAAGTCAGGTATGTAAAGCAAGTCCTTTGTATTATATTTTGTTATCCGAGAGCATTTTCTTTTCGTATCTTCCGCGCGTAATTCGGGTAATTTTCGACAGGGATTTTTCCATCGTTCCGCTATAAATAAGTTTAACATTTTTTGTACAAGCCCCTTCTAATCCGCCTTCGATTAATCAAAATGGTATTTCAATTCTCAGACTTAGACGCTACATTATCACCGAGCTATTGCTAGATGCAACGTCGCCGGTTCCTGAAATAAAGCCCGAAGGCGCATGACGTAATTAGCACTGGACGTGGAGAGAATATTCATCGGAAAGCGTTTGCTTTAAATTATATCCTTTCGTGACTGACTGATCCGTATTCACTACCGCGCCACTACCGCGCAAAGGAGAGATTTTGCGCAAGTGACGCAAGATGTGTAAACAATGAAAATTGGCTGAAGGTCGAATGATAAAATTATTGCGTGCAGATTCGCAGCAGCAGATGACGCGTTCGTCTTCGAACTTGTTATAGAGTATGGAAAAGCAAGCGGAATATAATTTCGCATTCACTTGGATTATTAAAAAATTTAGCATGTATCATCACTCATGCAAACAATTTATATGTAGCCCCGAGTTTGCTTTATATTGTTTACCCCGCATGAAGTTGCGTATTGAGTTATATCCGAGAGGAGATAGTAATGAGAGCTACGTAGCAGTGTATCTCAAAAGAACTGATGATATTCCAGAAACTTGCAACATATCTTTCACAGTGGAAGGAGTAGATTGCAAGGACACTTTTTTTTGCCGTCATAAAGGTAGGAAGATATTTAAACCTCAAACAGGTTCGGGCTATTCAAGTTGTATTAAAAGGAATACTGTTCAGTCGTTTATAAATGATACCTTAATTCTGAAATTTACTTTGAAGCCCGTGTGTGAGGCAAGTAAAGAACAAATACTGACTCCTCATACTGATCTAGAACTTCCTTACAAACCTGGACTGTTTGCGGATGTCGTGTTACGCGCAAGCAGTGAAGAATTCAAAGTAAATAAAGCGGTTTTGTGGGCGAGATGGCCCAAACTTGTAGAAAAAATGGATGCAGAGGAGACTTGCGAAAAAGATTTCGATATGAGATCGGATGTACTGGAGGCTATAATTGGATACGTTTACACCGGAAAAATAGATAACACTAAATCTGACTTGTTTGCGGATCTCTATGCAGCTTCAGAGAAATATGAGCTCCTCAGTTTGCAATGTTTACCAGTTGTGGCACAGACAGTACGAACCCATATTAATGTCAAGTCAGTATCATTTGAATGGCCAATTCAGAATTTTTCTGGTTTGCCTCTTAATACAGTGTTGCATAGTCACGTATTCAGCGTGGATATTTTGAAGTCTTGTAAATGGAACCTAAGACTTCACATGCTTAATACAGTCTTCGATAGTAGAGTCTTCGATATTTCCCTGTGCAAAGTATATGATCCTGAAACCAGGCCAATTTTCGTCAGAAGCAAGATATCGGTCCATGGAACAAATTTTTCTGAAAATGAACACTTGTTCGAAACGGATAAATATTGGAAATGTGGAGATTTTTCACATCCTGCTTCCTTAGGCCCTTGGCCTTACAAAGAATTGTTTCTTAAGGTAGAATTAAAGTTTTCTGACTGCAACAGTTTTTCTGAAATAATCAAATCTTCTAACGCCTATGTATCTTCAGTAATCTGCCATTCTTTTATCAGTGATTTTAAAAGTCTTTACAAAAGTGGTATGCTGTCCGACATTAGTATTATCGTCGGTGATAAAACATTCCCCGAGCATAAATGTGTTTTATGCGCCCGATCTTCGGTGTTTGCGAGAATGTTGCAAACGGGCATGATCGAATCGGAAAGAAATAGCGTGGAAATTTCAGATGTTGACCCTCAGATTATGGATGAATTCCTTTTATTTATGTACACCGGCAATATGGAAAAGTCATTGGACGAAACAGCTGAGGAACTATACGCGGTAGCCGATAAATATGACGTTCCTGTACTTCAGAAAAAATGTTCCTCTTTTCTGAAATCGAATCTCAGTGTTGGAAATGTGTGCAGAATTGTCCAGTTGGCCAGTTTTCATTCTGATGATGATTTATACAAAAGTGTGCTTGAGTTTTCATGTGCCCATGCAGAGGAAATTTTCTCTACTGATGAATGGAAAGCTGTCAAGAATGCGAATTGTTATGTGAAACTTCTGCAGGATATGTTAATTCAGAAAAAATGTACAAAGTGATTTGCAACTGAACTTCTGTATTATTTTGCGGATACTGAAACTGATTTGTAAAAATTTTGCATCTGCTTTGATAAGAAACATGGTAAAAATTGAAGTATAATTTTGTGATTTTTCTTCAGACTGCTGCGAATAACATATTTAATATTTCGTATTTGATGAGAATTCAGATATATAGTAAATTCATATTTTGTGACTCTTCTTTTATATTCTGTAACGAAATAAAGAAATTTTTGTGTCTTTAGAAGAAGAAACTGTCATTTCAGACATTATGTGTGCTTTCTTGTAGAATTTTGATGTTCTCTTAATTGATGGTCTAATTTGTTTACTTAATTTAGAAGACTGTTTGAGGAATAGTTTTCCAAAATACTTAAAAAGGAAGAATAAATTATATTTTTTATTACTTTATTTGTATAATGTAATTTATAACAGTATAAATTACATTATATAAAATAACTATATATAATAAATAACTATATAAAATACATTATATAACCGTTATAAAATAACTTACAACAGTAATTCATTCTAGTTATTTTATTTATAACAGTATTTTATGTCCATCTATAATTTGCTGGTGTGGTTCCTGTTTAGTGAGTCAAGTTTTATTGTTCAATGCGTTTTTTCAATTTTCCATATTTTATTGATTCTAGAAAAAATACGTTCTATTGCTGCATTTGTTCCTGGAAGGGAGAGCGCATGTTCTACAATTTTCAAAATATTTTCATAAGGAATATTATTCTGTTTAAAATGAAGGAATAACTCCGTCCATTTTTTTGTCTGTTTCCACATTTGCAGACAGCGAACATTTAATTTTTTCTTCAGTAACGTATATTTTTTAAAATGACACCTCATCAAAAAGATCATTTGCGCAAATATTATTTTTCAAAAAATGATTACTAATGTATTAAAAAGATTTTTTCACATAGTCCCATAAAATCTCCTTTTTTAATATCACCCATTGAAAATTTTTAATATCCTCGAATTGAACTGTCCGTTCTTCAAGATATTCCAAGCAGTTATTATAAAAATTTCTGACTTCTTTCAGAAATTCAGGTCGTTTAATGGCACCTTGTTCTTTCAAGCTAGTGATGTCCTTTCAAATAACTAAAGGAACGTAATCGTTATCAATTCTTTCTCACAATTTTGTTTTTAAAGTATTGATTTCATTTGACGATTCCGTAACTGAAATTTTGTCCCCTTCAATAATTTTCACAGCATTGTGAAATAATGTAGCTTGCTTGTGGATGAACTGATGCCAAATTGTGATGTGTCATTTTCAATAAAGAGCTGCAATAATCTTGGGCATTTATCCTGTGATAAAATTTATGATTTTAATGGTTCGTGTATTTTTAAAATATTTTCTACAGCTGATAAAAGAGCTAGCCATCGTGGTTTGCTGTAATCAATAATTCTTTTATATTCGATTTCTGAGCTTTCACAAAAGTCCTTCAAACTTTCACACAGTGTATATATATAAAAATACGAATACATTTTTGCATTAATATTTTCAAGATCCACTGGAAGTAAGTCAGATGCTGTTTGAATAGTACTGTGTAGAATGTGCGCTGCACAACCTACCCCAATAATTTATTGGTTCAAATGTTCGTTTCGTAAAAATGTTACTGATGCCTCTTCTAGCTTTTCCACCAAAATATGCGTTAGTGATATCCTCCCAATAGGCAATAATTTTATTGTTCAAATTATTATTTTTTTAAAATAGTACTTATTGAATCAAAAATTATTTATGAAGTTTCATCCGACAATGAAACACAAAATCCAATACTCTAATTTTAATTCCTGTTTCTGGATCAAAAAGTCTAACAATTGTGGGAAATAATATTAAATCATTGTGGTTGGAAGCATCATAATATATAGATATTAATTTGCATTTATCTAATTCTTTCTGCAATTGTGAAAACGAAAACAGTGAAAAAATAATTTTTTCACTCGGAACTGAAAAACATCTCTGCCTATTTAATCTCGTTTAAAAGTATTTTTTGATCTGCAGGAGCAAGCACACTTTCACAAATACTTGTACATTTTTGTTCTACCACAAAAAATCGTTTTTTCCAAAGAAGAATCTGGAAATTGAGTGCTATACAATTTGTGAAAACTTCTCTATTAAACTTTTGATGGTGCTTAATCTTATGATAGACTTAAGTCATTTCAATTGCTGATATATTGTCTTGTTCTTATGAAGATTTCTTCATGAAAAGGTTCGAAACCGATTGCGAAGAATCCCTATTCAATATTAACGACTGGTGTTTCTTGCTTTGGGAATGTACAGTTTCCGACATACTTTACATTCTCCGTTAATGTTGTCTCTCTTCATAAGCTAATCAAATTGAGTTAACCACTTGTCTTGAAACGACGTCGAATATTTTGCCCCCCCTTTTTATAGTACTTGTTTACTTGCAGAATCAGAATCGTGCTTTTCACTAGACATTATTGTGAAAGCATTTAAATAATTTCGAAATACGCACTTGTTTGTAACTAGCTAGATAACTGCAGACTAACGTAGATCGCTGCTGTAAAGAATATGTATTGACACAGACGTTCTTTGGCTGCTGGGCGCGGTCGTGTGATTTTCGATGCTCTCAACCATTTCGTCCGCGCACATTGTGTCATTATTTTCGAGAAACTTGATATTCCGGGAGAGTAATATTGATTTTAAATATTATATTCTTTTCGGGGGGACGGGAGAGTTTAATTTTCAGAACTCAATTCAGGGAGAGGTCGGAACCCTAAGAATAATGCTTGGTTAAAGAGGGGTTACCTCAGTAACCAGTGTCGATTAAAAGTTAAGTGTCATATCTGTTCAAAAAGACATTTGAAATGTTTTGTGTCCTAGTATTGAATGTAATAAGTCTTGTGAAATGCATGAGCAGGAAAATGATACTCGATTCTTTGCATTCACATGCTACGAATGAAGTTTTCCTTGAGATCCTGGTTGTAATCCTTGAGATCCTGGTTGTAATCTTTGAGATCTTGGTGTAAGAGGATAAGAACAAAAGGCATAAAGTTAGATTAATGATTGATAGGGGAAGCTCAAAAAAATATGTTTTAAGGTAGGGATTCTTAACCGGTGGTACGCAAGAGAAAAATAGATGGTACGCAAAGAAACAAAGTATTCTAAACCACTAAAGTAAAAAATTAAATATCCCAACATCCTGTTTAAGTTTTTCTCAAACACTCGTAAATGTATGCGATCTGAGCTTTGTTCAAGGCCAATATCCGCTCAAAGTAATTTCATTTTATTTTCACAAATATTCTTTTAGCCATAGACATATAACAAAATTCGCCATAAATGATGTTTTTTAAAATTAATAATAGAAACGAATGCTGTATTTAATAGAAAATAAAAATAAATTCTTATAAAAAGGTAATAGTACCTTATTAATTCTTTTAGAGTTGATTGATTTAGCATGTCTGCTCTTCATATTACTCTATTTTCACTGAGAATAATTTTTTATTCTAAGTGATTATTATTTATTTTATTATTATCTTTATTATTTATTATTTATTTATAATATTATTTAATTAATAACTGTCTCTAACAGCAAGTATTTTGTCTTCTTGTTGCTTTGTACTCCGTACTTTTCTACGAGATTTGAGAATTTTGTCGTTTGTTTTTGAAGAACTCATAATATATTGTGCATTTAAATATTTGTTAAAAATTAATAAAACAAACCTAGATTTTTCCAAATAATCAAAATGGCTAGGATTGGCTCAGCGCAAAAGTGATGATTCACAGATGATGGATCAAGAACAAATTACGAGCACTAAGAATACTGAAAAGAAAAGAAAAATTGTTTATAGAAAATATAATGAAAGTTATTTATTTTTTGGGTTTACTTGGAATGGAAATGAAATGGACCCTCAATCTCAATGTGTTATTTGCCGTGAACTATTATGAAATTACAATATGAAACCATCGTTTCGTATAAGACATCTTGAATCTAAGCACGTAAATTTAAAGGATAAATCTGAAGAATATTTTAAGAGAATATTAACGGAATTCAAAAACAGTAAACAAGTATTGAAATACTTTAAGTGAAAAATTTTAGTTAGCTACTAAGCCTAAGAATTGCTAAGATTGGGCATACTCACACTATTGGAGAAAAACTCATATTACCAGCAGCTAAAGATTTCGTTTTCAGGGGACAGTGGACGGTGGTTTTAGCAAAATTCGACCAAAAATTAAAAAGTAAAAATTTCATATGCTAATATTCTACGGTTTTAACTTTATAGTTTATAAAAAACCGCTTGTGTGTAAAATTATTTTTAAAGATGCTATAAGCATTTGAATACGCTTGTTTACCTTTTCTGGGACATTTAAAGGGGCATTTAAATGTCAGTAAAAAGGTAAACAAACATTTGAGAATTGTTATTTTAATTTCCGCGACTATTCCTTTTTACTATTAGTAAGATGTATATGTGTAAGATATGAAGACCGCAATTTATGCAAATTTAGTTCACTGTTGTTCCACGGATGACTCACTCAGACATTATAAATGCCTAATAGGTGTCATATCATGTTTTTCCCTTCCCCCCCCCCCAAGTGGCATTGCCAAAAAAAGAAACCTAAATGTCATTCAATGATAAGCACCAAATTAACAGTAGATGTTTTATCCAAAATATTGCTAGTGTATCAAAGGCTAGCCAGTAATGAACTTGTAGGAAAATGCATATCTGAAGAAACACAAAACACTAAAGGGAGTTTACATAGTGTCATTTGAAAGAACTCCCCCAGAGAAACATTTGTATCGAAAACAGACTCGAAATAGCTGTTACAGCAATTAGTAACTTCAATTTTGAGTGTTTAAATACTTTAGGTATGGAAAAGGAAGATATAAATTCATGTTCAATATCTATCGAGCAAAGGCAAGATACACATCGTATAGACCAATGCAAAAAGAGGTGTTCGTCTGGATACAAGAAAAGAATTGCCAAAAAAAAAAAAAAAAAAACTGTGTAAAGTAGCTACACGTAATGAAAATGTAAATAAGAGAGAGGAAACATATAGTGCAGGAAGTTTTTAAAGTGATTTAGTTTAAAAAAATGTATTTAGTTGAATTTACTGAAAGTGTTCGAGAAAATTTTTAAAATAATATTAAGTATTTCTTACTGTTCTACGATTTTATTAGTAGAAAAATTATTTATGCATACGTAAAATAATGTTAAAATAATTTATATTTAATAAAAACATGTATTAGAACATACTGAAAAGAGAATATTAAAGGT